TGAAAATAGTTGTTTTAAATGCTTATTGAGTCAGATATGTGGTGGGTAATGTTTGGTTTATTGAAATGTTTTTATCCGTCCCTGTGTAAATGGGTTTGGCTGATATTTAAGGACAGATTTGCACCATGTTTTTTCTCCCACACTGTTTACATTTGATCGCTGCTGTACTTTAAGAAATAGAAATGTCATGAAAGCTGTACAAAACGAAATTTCATTTTGTATACACTCTGTGTATACAAAATGACAATAAAAGTTGTCTAAATCTAGGATTCTAATATATTTGCAGTGTTGGGGACTATAAATCTGATACGATACTGCTATTGAAGTTCCTCGAAAATTTTATTAACACCCAAAACAGCAGTGAGAAGTTCAGTAATCAATCTATTCCTGGGTCTGCATCCTTGGAGGATGCAGCCTCTAAAATCAAACACACCCTTTGAATCAAAACAGGCCACAGTGCCATGCTATGATGTAATCGGCTGATGAATCTGGGCTTCAGAGGACACACCAGTAGTTCAAACCAACTACAAGTGACTTGAAAATCACAGTTTGACAATGCAGGGCGCTGGTTCCCATGGGAAATGCTGTCTTTCTTCAATCAAAACACTATATCTTTTTTCCACTTTGGGTAAACAAAATCAAGCAAAACTAAAAGCCCTTTAGAACTGCTTTAATGCTGTCATAATCTATAATTTAATGTACTTTCCACCCATCTGCCATAAGGAAATTTGGTGACTAGTAAATGTTTTACACCAGTAGGAGGTTCATGGAGTCATATTGATATGATGTTTATATTATCCCTTAATGCAGCTGATACCAACTAAACTGGCTTAAATTATATGAAGAAATTATTGAAAACAAGTTCTGATGTTTCTAGGAAAATGCTTACGTCATTGAATTGATACATTGGTGAGATTTCATTTTACAACCAGTAATGTTAATCCAAAATACCAATAGAATAAACAGAAAACACAGTGGTCAAGCTCCATACATAAGTACAATATTCATGTATTTTTCATAACAAAATTGAAATAAGTTTAAAATGGGAATACAAATCTGCAATATGGCACGCTGACCTGCAGCCTGATTTTCATTCTTATTAGAAGTATATAACGTTTGGCACATGCAGTTGACATTTTAGGGGGGGGGGGAACTCCCATACTCCCAGAAGATAGTTAATATTATGACTATAGGAATTGTTTTTATATTTTTATTCACAATTAAGGAATATTATTACCAGGACTCAAAGACATTACTCATATGTAAACATTTCTTGAACTCCACAGGAACTCTTAAATTCACTGACAAGAACCATACATAGTACAACATCCAGAAGGACAAAATCCAAACCTGACCTAGTCTTTTAAGCAGATTTTACATTTTTAACCATTTACTGGACTTTAATAATATTATGAATCTGAAAATGTTTGTGTGTTCATAAGCCTCTGTATCTTTGTGTTTGATATTAATTGTGTGTTTTTTTTTCATCCTGCAGGTACAGTGCTCTGAAATCTATGATACTGCTTCAGCTCGAAGACAGAGATCTTAGCAGTGACAGAGTATGACTGTTTGTGTTTATATGACATACTGTTTGTGAGTGGGTGTGTGTGTCTATAAAAAAAGGAAAGGGTGGACAATACACTAATGACTGTTGATTTACTTTGGCAAGATTATCCGATACTGTAACGAATGTAAAACTGAACAAGTGCTTATATTGAAATTGTACTTTATAAACCACACATCTTTTCATTTTCTTTGTATATTTTGTATCATTCATCATTGTTTTATTATCACACTTTGTATATGTGCTTTTAATATTTACATATTTGGATAAAAATCAATTCTGAAAATATTTATAAATGATGTTTTTGTACTCCTTAAACATTTAATAAATCCTGCTGATATTTGTGCTGAATGCTGATGGTGAATCTCTCCTGGCACAAAACATAATAACCACAGTGAGTTCAAATCCCAAAGAATGTAAGATAATGGACCAAACACTTTTTTATTATTTCCTTGACTTCCATGAAAAGATAATCATTGTTTTTTTTCTAAGTAACCTTGCCCGCCAGCTAGTTCCCATGGGATATGTATGTGTGTCTATCAACATTACACAATAGAGGTATTCTGAGACGAGGCCATTTTCTTTTTCCCACAGTTTCACACGTGGGAAGGCTATTCTATTATTCGTAGAAGCCACAGTCAGGTGACTGTTGTTAAAATTAGATTATTGTTCTACTGCTTTTAACACACATTTAGATAATTCATTTGGACTATTTAGTAAAAACTTTAAATACATATATCAGTAGAATCAGTGATAGAAATGTCCACAAGGTAACCTATTTGAAACCAGACATGTTTTTACAATATATAAAACAACCTTTTTTTTTACTCACTGGCATCAAATCAGACCAAGCTTTTGCTGTTTGGAACATTGATCAGGGTAAGTGCAGAACTACGTGTTCTTAAATGATGATTTTATTACTTTAATGAAAATCACAACCTCACATAAACTAAGCGTTTAGACTTGTTTGTAGGTTATTTCATAGGTTCACATTATTTCAGTCTGTCCAGATAACTTAAAACGCTTTGATCATCTGTGTACGCAGATGATGACTTTGGTATCCCTGCAATAAAGATGTGAAATGCATATCAACGACAGAATGGAAAAATCAACTATGAAAATGAATGATTTAAACACCTATGCCAAGGCGGCCATAATGGTCTGCTTTTGCAAATCTGCTGGGCTATCTTCAAGCTCTGGGACATCAATTCCCAGAGCTGTATTCACAAAACAGAACACAAAAAACTAAAAGACAAAGCTCTCGATTTATATCTCGGTCAATGTTACCACCCTCACCTGTGGTCGTGAAATCTGGACCATGACAGAAAGAATGAGATCCTGGATACAGGAGGCTGAAATGCGCTCTCTGAGGAGAGTAGCTTGTTCACTGAGGAGAGGCCCAGAAAAGAACCGCTTCTCCTCCTCATCAAGAGGAGTCAGCAGAGGTGGCTCGGACATATTTTTCAGATACCCCTGGATGCTCCCGTGGGAGTTGTTCCAGGAACATTTCACCTAGAGTACGAACCAGGACACAATGGAGGACAGTTTTGCAGTCTCTGCTGAGATTGCTGCTTCCACCGACCCAGACTGGGATGAAGCGGAAGACGATCTGTACGAGTGTTTAAAAAAGCATTGAAGCTTTAAATATTGTTGAAGATTGTAAAAGGTTGTATTTTCAACATATTAAATAAGTACTGTCCCATGAAACAGTAAGCATCCAGACTGCAGTATGTGGGATAGAAGCATCATGTTCTGGTATAGCGAATATAAATTTCCTAAAATTACTTGAAAACGAAAAAATTTTGGGGGAAATACTCAAACTACGCCCAATACATTAGCCAGAAAGTTTAAGCTTCATCACAAATGGGTCTTCCAGATGGACAGTGACCCTAAGTACAACATACACTACAACTTTAGGTAGATCTATACCTTAATAGTATTGTGGAATATTTTCCCAAATTTTTTAAAGACCCGTCTACTCCACTTTATGTAGTTTATTTAAACACTGCTTTTTATTTTCTTGATAACCCTAAACAAATTGCAAGGTAAATATTTTTTTTAATGGAAGAAAAACCTTTTAGTATTTTCCAAGTGGTGTCTGGAACAACAGACACCAAATGGAAACATCTCTGGACTTGGGTTTTCTGTTTGTATGTAAGGGCCCTGTCACACCTTGACGATTTAGACAGCGTATGCCTGACGTCCTGCATAAATAGATTTATTTGATCGCTGCATTAACCTAGCTGCTGTTCCACACTCACCCTATGATTGATTGATTGATTGTCTTTATTGATCACAGTGGAGAAATGTACTTGTTACATACTATGATGCGGATGCAGTCTGGAGGAGTACTGACGGTTGAGCCTTTCATACCAAAACGCTGCCAATACACCATTAAACAGTAGCTGTAAGTTAGAAACACGTTCAGCGGTCGTCTGGAACATGTCAGATGGGTTGATATGCGTTGGGGATAAGTTTTTGATAAGTTATTCATAAGTTATACACATGTTAATCATAGATTTTGGATAAGCTAGACTTAAGATTTATGAGTAACTTACACTTAACATATATCAACGATCAAAAAACTTACCTGTAACTTATGACTCACCTACGAGCATATGTTGACATGTATGTCGTGCTTCAGCGTGCTCATAATACTAAACATGCCCATGACTTATCCAATGGGTGCCCTCATTTTTGCCAGATTTTTCGTACATCAGGCATAGGCTGTCTAAATCATCAAGGTTTGACAGGGGCTTAAATGGAGAAGCTACAACATTCTGGGCAGGTAGTAAATGCTGCAGGTTAGCTTGATCAAGTAAGAAAGTACAGAGTTACTCTAATGTCAAAGCCGTATCTGGCCCGTGAATTGTTTATCCATTGCCCCGTGAATGATATTTAATTACCATTAGAACCGGCCCACAGGCCACGGCCGCTTGTGCGTGCTGCTATAGTGTTGTGTTGCATGCACCAACACTACATTCCCAGGCGAAAACAAGATTGTGTTTTTCTTTTCTTTTATTTAAAATTTTTGGTTGTGCTTTGCATGTTTGGATTGTTTTGGTCTTTGCTTTTCCACCTTTAACAATCCAAGCTTGGCTGTCGGTGGAGTGCACTAACTGCACTATGCAACTGCTGCGCACAGGTGTCAGCAGAGGCTGATTAAAGCCGAAATGAAAGGAGCCTGGATGGAGGGAGGGGCGGATACAGGTAAAGCCAGGACATATAACTTTGGGTTTGGTTCTGCTACAAGCTTTAAAATTAGACGGCCAGCTTCCCCCAGATATTTATTACTTAAAAAATAAGTAATAAATAAATAAAACTGAAGATTATAAAAGACAATAAATAAACAAGGTAATTATAACAAAGCCGAACAAATAAATCAGCGCTCCAACTGACTATATATTGCTCTAATGTGAGCCAAAAGAATTGACAAAGGCTCCTGATAGATGTCGAAACGTCTTCAAAAAACTGAACGAGAGTCCGGCTTTTAAGCCCGTTTATGGTTAACCTTACTATTAACATAGGCGTTTTATGGACATGAGTCATTTTTTACAACCCTTCAGCCTTTGGTCGGACATAACAGGTGCAGCTAAGGGTTGTTTTTCATCCATTCACCTCTGGAACTCTTTCCAAGAAAGCTAGATTCTATATTTTAATAGCTCATAAATCTGTAAACTTAAAGCGCCTGCTGCCTGTGAGAACAGACAGGCACAAAGTGTGGAGCAACATAGAAAACACTTTACAGAATTTTATCTGAAGTAGCTATGGCTACAAATGTGGATTCAAAAGTAGTGATAGTAGGCTGTGGGATAGCAGGGATTGCTGCGGCTCAAAGGCTCCTTAAATCTGGGTTCTCTAATGTCCGGATCCTGGAGGCGACTCAAAGAAGTGGGGGAAGAATTAAGACATGCAGACTGGGTAAGAAGCCAAGCAAAAGATTCATTGGAGACTGTTAAATAAAGCAGCAAAATATAGCCCATGTATTATGTATGTATGTATGATATGTATGTATATGTATGTATGTTTTATAATAGCCTTCTGTAGTCTTATTGATAAATATCTATTTCTAAAAAAGGAAAGTCCCTGAGTGCCTTTATAAAGATTATTTGTTATTATGAACTGCGATCCTACATTTTATTTGCTTCAATTTATATGATTTGAATTCACAAAAAAAATATTAAAATGAACATCATTACTCTGTTACAGTTACTTAATTCAAAGATTACTATTTATTTAACGGTCCGTGTCTAATTGTATCATTCAATTCCATATTGAAGCTTTTGAAATATTTTATTTTTGTGCAGAGATAGTCATGCTCTTCTGCACTGCCTTAATGAAGTGTAGACATGTTGCAAGGAAGTTTTTACTGCATATGTTTGTTTTTTAACGCCCTGGATGTTTGCCATAACAAAAAAGGTGGAAATCAAGTGAAAAAAATCGCAAGAATTGTTAATCAAAGTTCAGTTTAAGATTTCATAAATGGAGACACTCTTGTGCCAAAAGAATAAGCTACCACTTGATGACTATGATTATGGCTTAAGGTTTTTGAGTAAATTATTGTTCTGTTTTCAAAAAACAAATCAATTCTGTAGTTTAACAGTTTAAATATAATTCTTTCACATCTTTGCTTTATTAACACAGGTAATACCAGTATAGAAATCGGTGCAGCTTTTATCCACGGTCCATCTGAGGAGAACCCAGTATTTTGTTTGGCCCGTGACTATAACCTCCTGGACCCTAAATGCCTCACTCCAGAGAATCAGTCTGTAGATGTTGGTGAATACCCTCCTCTGGTTCCCAACTGGTTCACCAGCTCAGGTGAGAGAATCACCTGTGCCAATTGACATTAAAACGATAGGACTTTGCAGAAAAAAAAAATTATTTTGGTGAATTTCATGAATCTCAGGTCAGAAGGTGAATCCCGAAAGCATGAATCCCGCGCTGGAGCTGTTTCATGAGCTTCTTCAAAATACTCCGCAATCTAAGACTCACAAACCAAGATCCTGGCCAAGTGTGGGGGATTTCATTAAATCTGAGGTACTATTTTATACAGGGAAAAATAATATGTTTTTGTTGTCCAAAGCAAGAAAGAGTATTAAGGTGCTTAGATGCTTTAAGTTCTTTTTCATCCTTCATACAGGTACGAAGGCGAGCAGCTAAGAGGTGGAAAGATAAAGATAAGAGCACCAGGAAGCTGCTTCTTGGTGCCATCAGTACAATGTTAAAGGAGGAATGCTGTTCAAGTGCTACAAACTCTATGGAGGAGCTGGATCTAGTAGGATTTTCTATGTACCAAAGTATCAAGGGAGTAGACTGCACATTTCCTAGGTTTGTATCTCTGGTGAACGTTAATTGGCTTGTAAGTACCAATGATGGCGGATAAAAAGCTATGCATCTTGATTGACAGTGACAAAACATCTGTGATATGCTTTACATTGAAGCCAGTTTAAGAAAAACCTGGCTCTGATTACTGGGAGGAACTAAAGATGCTTATTTTTGTTATTTTAATAGTGTGTTATATTCGTCATTCCATACTGACAGTTTTAACTGACGAGTATTATATATATCTTTACAATAACTACCTATTGCACCTTCAGGGGAAGTAATTAAAGTTTAGCAAATGTTTAATGAGGAAACCTTCATTCCCAGTTTCTCACTATGTATCATCTATAAAATGAAGCCAGGGGAGTGGTGGCTTAGTGCTTTGGGCATACAGTAGAGTTTGGAATCCTGCGGTTCTGAGTTCGAAAAGACCCCACACTGCTCACCGGGCCCCGCACAATGGCAGCCCACTACTCCCCAATGGGCTTGGTTAAATAAAAAGAGTTAATTTCATTGCTCTGTACTTGTGGCAGTGCAATGACAATAAAAGCTGAGAAATGAAATGCTGCTTAATAGCGATTGTTTCTAATCTCTTTTTTTGTGAAACCAATTCCACTTAATTGTTATCCAATAGCCCTTTATAAGATAAACATGTCAAATTGATAATAAGAATAGAGCAAAGTCTAGATTGCATAACACAATCCTATAGAAAAAACTGATTCAGTTACAAAATCACAATACAATAGTTAAATTAAAATCCATATTTTATTAGTTTGTAAGTTGTCTATCTAGAAGCTGAATAGTATAAAATTTAGTTTTCAGCAATCCCTCTTAGCATAGATAGCAGTCTTGTGCTCTGCCATGTTCACTCCTATTACATCTAATGATGTTAACTTTACACATTTCGTCACTTAGTTTCGTCAGTCAGTTAGTTCTATAGTTTCTATCTGTACTCTACGAGCCGCCCATAGGCTCTATGTATCGTTTTTCTCTGCCTGAGTTGTAGCCCTACTGATTATATCCATGCTATTGTCTTGCAGCGGCACAGAGGACTTAGTAAGCAACTTAATGTCAGAGCTCCCGGCTGACTTGGTGTCTTACAGTCGGCCTGTGCGCTGCATTCACTGGAGCAACAGAAAGAGCGGAGTGAATGCTGTGGTGGTAGAATGTGAGGATGGGGATAGAATCCCTGCTGACCATGTTATTGTGACTGTGTCTCTAGGTGGGCTTGTTTCCATACACAATACACATAATCACTATATCTATATAAATGGGAAAGGGGATTTTACAGAGTCAACCTCTTTTGTTTACATATTTAAGGCTTTGTGATCCGTTTTAACCAGATATACTTTTTTTTTTTTTTTTTTTTTACAAATAATCAAAAAGCTTTTAACATCTAATCAAAGCTTATAAAAAACTTTATATGTTTTGCTTCTTTTTTTTCATACAGGATACTTAAAGAAGCACCACTCTACTCTGTTTTCACCTCCTCTTCCCGCCCAGAAGCTTCGGTCGATTCATAAAATAGGATTTGGAACATGCGACAAAATCCATGTTGAGTTTGAATCCCCCTGGTGGGATGCTGACTGTGAAATCATCTATCTTCTGTGGGATGACGAGGTTTGTACAACCACTCTGTTAAAAGATCGAAATTGTATTATTTATAACAAAAATGTGTTTTACTTTTATTTGCTCTCAAAATCTTGAATAATCCTGTAGCAAAGAAGGTTTTTGCTTATGTTATTTTTAAATACACTTCAAACCAAGGCCTGATCCAGTTCTTTTAATGATATTTAATTCATAGCAAATATGTATGTTTTGGAGTATATGGATTTTTTTTTTTTTTTCAGGAAAATATTTCAGATCATGTGTTGGAAATAGGTGAAAAGTGGATCAGGAAGATCTCCTCGTTCACTGTGGTGAAACCCTCTCAAAGGTCAGCAACATTGCATGAAAAGCGACATTTAACAAGTCAGGACACAAACAGTTACATTACCAACCTTATGAACCCGACAGAGGCAGCCATGTTCTCTGTGGTTGGATTTCTGGACATGAGGCAGAGCATATGGAGATGCTTCCTGAGCAGGAAGTCAGGCGCTCTATCACCGAGCTGATACATACTTTCACAGGTGATCCTTACATCTTATCAGAGAAAAATAAGAGCCATTACACTTTTATTTTCCTAATAGGACTTTAATAAACAAAGTTAGTAAAAAAAAAAAAAAATTACCTAATAGAGTTTTACATTTATGGTTTTTGCAAGCAATTTAAAAATGACTTTTTTTCATAGGGCTGTGACCAATTGTCACATATTAACCCAATGTGATGTTCTCTGTAACGTTACAGCTTTGTGAAGCGCATGGAGCTTTTTACGGCGCAATACTGGAATAAACCTGTTAAAGTTAGTCATAGACTATAGAGTGGTGATGAAGTTCACCATCCAGTAGGGCAGCTCTAAACACATAACCAGAGCTTCAGTAGAGGGTTTTAGATAAAAGCCTTTTCATGCATTAAAATGACCAAGACTGAAACTAAATTAAGACTTAGAGTAAACTAAGTCTGGGGTATAACAGATATAAATGTATGCACTTGAAATGAAAAGGAGTGGAGACATAGCTCAAAATAAATGCAAAAAGAATCATTTTGAGTTCTACTGTGTTGGAACAGGAGGAATGAGTACAAATACAAATCATAGTGATTACATTTTTATTGGTTTACTGATAAATGAATCAAAAGCTGGAGTGACCCTCTCTCTTTACAGTACATCCACTTGCACATTTGTGAATACAATAACAAACAACTTTAAGTCATGTCTGGCATTCTAGTATTTTCTTATCTATTACATCTAACTATTAGCCACACTTTTCAGATTGGTACATTGACAAATAATATTCATTGAAGGCTTGTTCTTTCATTGCTGCTCCACTTCATAATGATACAGTATCTTACTATAAGTTTGTATGTTTCTAAGACATTTAAGTGTCTATTAACAAGTTCAAAGGGACAAATTAATGTTAAATAGTTTGGCTCTATGGTTTCCAGATATAAATTAAACTTGTATTATCATAAAGTATGTATTTAATTGTTTATTATCAAACTGACTGTTTTTAGCATAATATTCTGTGTTTAGGAGACCATACCATCACACCAAAGAGAATCGTGTGCAGTCGGTGGTTCCATGATCCCTGGACGTTAGGATCCTACTGTCATCCAGCAATCGGCTGTTCAGCACAGGATTTTAAGAACATGATGGGACCCCTGCCTGTAACAGGAGAGCAACAGGTTCACAGATTAACCTTTCTAGATAATTAAAGCTCATATTTGCTTAAAAAGTATTCATGCAAAAAAGACTGAATAGTAAACTGTTATTTATGGACCTTGTGGTTATGCTTCAGGCCCTACAGGTATTGTTTGCTGGTGAGGCGACTCATCCCAGCTATTACTCCAGCCTCCATGGAGCACTCCTCTCTGGGTGGAGAGAAGCTGACAGACTCATCTCTCATTATTCTGTCACATGTCCCCATCCTTCACAAAAGATTTAAACCTCCATAGCATAAAATAATATTTTTTATCCTTTTAAATTAAGTGAAACATCAATATCATTGTTAAAAGAAGGAACTCTAATCTAGTTTTCAGAACACACCAAAGCCACACATTGTAATAAACTGAGGCTTTGATAAGTGGCTAGAAATCTGTAGCAGGTTACAAATTTTCAGTAGGTACACCAATAGGCAATTAATCTGACTGGGATTTGATGTAACTTGGTCAGTGGTTCGATTCAAATGTTGATGGAGAAACAATTTGTGAATGGGAATGTCCACAGGGAACATCTGTAAAAAGTTTCCTGTTGAACAGACAAGGCTTACAGGAGCTGTAAGGACAAAAAAAAAAAAGCTTTAAAATATACAATGAATTAACTAATAGAGTACATCTGTATTAAAGCAGAATATCAAAATAAAATTTCTGTTGTAGTAGTGTTGTGTTTTTTTATTATTAATATTTTACTGGTACACTATTGTCGTTTGAGAGGTTTATTTCAGCAGAGCTATAAAATTAATGTTCTCTACAAAGAGATGATTAAATAATGTTTCTATATTAATCCGGTGTTTGTGTTGTTCTTTTTGTCAGCATTGAGGGGGGGGTCATATTTACTGTAAAGATATTAAATTTTGGAAATATAACAGAAAGACAAAATAGGCACTTGTTTATTTTCTCAATAACTTTGGAAAATTTTGAGTTTAGAAAGGCTTTTATTTTGAAAGCCTGAACCAGAAAGCACTTCCGTCGGTCAGGAGGAAGTAGGAAGCTGAGACTTTTCAGAGGAAGTGTGCCGCTATGGCTGGGAATAGGAACGTAAATATTGTAGTTGTAGGCTGTGGGATCGCAGGCATAGCGGCAGCTAACAGGCTTGTTAAATCTGGGTTCAATAATGTCCGGATACTGGAAGCGACCGGAAGGAGCGGGGGGCGCATTAAAACGGGCAGATTAGGTGAGTCTGATGGACACGATACATAACCAATCACGATCTAATTAAAGACGATCATTTATTTCACTCGGTTCTTTAAGTTGAAATGGGAGAATTTAATGTCCTGAGACACATTCATTTTTTTAGGGTATTGTAAATTTACCCTGAAATTGGCTGACAGACCACTCAGTTAAAGCCACAGGTTGCAGGTAGATGTTTTTAAAATTAAGATTTCGCAATATCCCTTTGCAGAATTAACCTCTATAATGAAACAAGAAGAAAATTACACAACAACATTGCAAAAGTTATCAAAAACAACATTTGACAAAATTTAAATATGACTTCCCTACGACTTTAAATATATAGAAAAAGTTCACATAAATCAATAACACGCATTTTTTTGGGGGGGGGGAGCGCCTATACTTAGAATCACTTTTTTCATTAAACTATAAAATGTATATATAATGTATGTGGTGGTAGTTAAAAGATACTAGTGACAAGTAATGTAACCTGCCTCCCAGGGCCTGTAAATCCACTACTGTATGGGGGATGAGGTGCCTCCCCACTTAAACAGAGCAAAATGTTTTTTTGTTTAAAGAAAAAAAGTGGAATATACAGAAAATCACCTCACTGTGCCCACTTGGGTTATCCCAACTTGTGTTTTATTTCTTACCCACCTACAGTGTCTATGTATAAAACTGTGTGTATAATTTAGACTAAATAAAAAAATAACTGAAACTAGTTTGAGGAATGGATTATTTTTATTTATGAGCTTGATCAATTTCTTTCAAAACTGACATGGCAGAAATAGTTAAAACACTTTTTCTTTTCTTTTTTTTTTTTTTTTTTTTACTTATGTCTACTTAAAGGTTCTTAGAGCAGTTTTAGCTCCAGAAAACTCAAGAAAAAAAAGACAGTCTGTACTTTTCTTTCATCACAGTGCATTCCTCCTGGCTTTCTGTACATACACATGTACAATTTACTGAATTTATTCAGAATGGCTGTAAAGTTTGTTTGGTGCGTTCTTTTTAAAGTCTTGTTTAAATGGAGATTTTTGGAGATAAATCCTAAAAGGGTTTGTGCATCCTGCTGTATTAGTCACATAAAGACGTGTGTGTATAAAGGCTTTTTGGATGTGACGTGTCTCTGATTCACATCTGAAGGACACCAGGGCTAATTTCTACAAGTTGGTCTACATGAAATGGGTTCAGATCCACCTGTTTCCGTCTGTTTGTTTCTCATGATCTATGCTGTTTTTTCTGTAAAACATTATTCATAATTTCATAAGACATGACCTTTGCATTTACATTGCTGTTCTTGGTACTGAAGATAACTTAAAAGGTTGTCTTTACTCTAGAACAATAAAGCCTTATCTATAGCCTTGTTATGCGTTTGTAAAAGGGGGTCAGGAGTTTTATCCTAAACTTATTAACTGTAAAGCTGTAGTTTACCTACAAGTACTTCATATAACAGCTTTGCCAACATGGTAAAAAAAACTCAAGAAAACACGACCTGGGTATAAGGTTTATGGATTAACATTATATAAATGTTATTTAAGTAATAAATAAGTAATACTTATACAAATAACTATTATGTGAGAGCTTTAAAAGGAATTCTATGTGTTTATGAAAATCATCACATTTAAAAGTGAGAGAAATATAATGATAGAAGCCAGTAACAGCATGATGTTTACAGAAAAAAAAAATACATTTAAGTCTTATCCAGCAAAATCTTGGAATCTGGTGTTCCTGATTCAAGCCAGCACTTTATTCTATGTTTAAGGGAGACCAGATACAATAATCCAGCCTGTTGTGGTCACACCCGATTACTCTAACTAATGCCTGTAACAAGTTACAGACATTGGAAGAAAACAGCTTAATGCTGAAAGAACATTTAATTGGAGGGAGTCTGGTCTCTCTTCCAAAACAGTCGGCAACCCCTCTCACCCACATACTGTGTAACCTAGTAAATGTAGAACGGCTAAGTGAATACCTATTTGAAAATCAGCACTCATATTAGAATATTATGAAGGGATATATAGGAAATTGTTTTTTCCAATCACATGAATTCTCATATTTAATGGTTCGTAATCAAGACAGTTCTTAACAGTATAACTTTTTAATTTGAAATGTCACTAAAGTTTCTGGGAAGAAAAAAAAGTCCAGTTTATAGTTTCTTTTTTAAAACATGTCTTGCATAGGTGATAAAGTCATTGAGATTGGGGCAAACTGGATCCATGGACCCTCTGAGGGGAACCCAGTGTTTTGTTTAGCTCGCCAGTATGGGCTCCTAGATCCAGAGGCCCTGACCCTCGAGAACCAGGCCTTGGACACTGGAGGACATCTGCCCTGGGTTTCCAACATCTTCAGCAGTTCAGGTAGTCAACAATCTGATTTGGTATGAAAGTTCGAAAGATTAAACAAACTGCACGTTGTCAAATATGTATTTTTTTGTTGCTGTATCAAAATGAAAAATCTGCGACTATATGCTGGTGCGTTTGTGCACCAAGCATCAAACATTTAAGAAAGTTTTTGTGCTTATGCAGGTCGGAAGCTGAATGTCGAGGACATCTCTCCAGCTGCTGAGTTATTTACTGAGCTGCTTGGTGAAAGTTCAGAGTTTCAGAATCAAAAAGGCGAGCCCTATCCCTGTGTGGGAGATTTCATACGCTCAGAGGTTTGTTTTATTAACTTTTATTAACCTAAAAAGAAAAATAACTATTGATTTGAGACGTTCTTGCTGCTGCTGAGATGATTTGTTGTTTTGCTGCTGTCTGTATGGAGGTGAGACAACGAGCTGCAGAGAGATGGAAAGACTTGGACTCAGCCACCAGATCACTGCAGCTGTGTGCGATCAGTAGCATGTTGAAGAGAGAGTGCTGTATTAATGGGGCCCACAGCTTGGATGAGGTGGGTCTGGGGGCCTTTGGCCAATACAAGATCCTGCCTGGCTTGGACTGTACGTTCCCAGGGTGCGTTCATTTATTGATATGTTTATATTATATATATATCTCCAGCACTGATCCAGATTGAAGTCATTTAGGTCACAGAGCTCAGGGAGAGTGTTGGGAAAATATAGAGAATATGTGAGGAAAAATCTGATGCTTATGTTCAGAGCTACATTCAACAGTATCTTAATATTATCTTGCCCTTTGTTTCATGTCTTATTTATAACCACAGTAACAACAAAGCCATTGATATCAAAGCCAGAATATCTGGTCACCATTATTTCTTATGTTAACTCTGCTTTAATGCCTGAATTTATTTGTATAACAATTTAGAAACATTAAATCAAAAACAATTAGACCCAGAAACAGTTATTTTCTTAATACAAGATGGCTCTAAACATCCCTGATGAAAATAAAAAAATAAAACCTCCAGCCAACTTCATGAGCTGCACACCATGCCACTTTCTATTTACTTATGTTCTTTTTTTTTACATTTTAAAATCTCCTCTAAGGAAGCTTGCCTCTTTGTCTTTTTATGTAAGGGTTTTTTAACTTATGTCTGTATATTGTATATGGAGTTAGAGCCGGTGTTTTAGAAAAATGTCATTATGGTGAGATAATAACAATAAAAACTGATTTTGGAAAAGACCAGAAAACAAATACCAGTTTTGATTTTGCTATTGCTATTTAATAAAAAGAGGGGGAGTGATTCTCTAATCTAAATTTAATTCAGTAAAACATACTTTGTTAATTCTTAAGGGAAATTATATAAATAATAAATATAAAAATAAACAATCTTGCCATTAAAAATCATTTTATTCTTTCAGACAGTTTACCAAGTCTATATGAGCCAAGATTCATGTGGCGCTCATGAGCTGGATTTAGGTTTCAGTCTTACCTCTAGGTCGCGCCAAATTGCTGCAAGGCAAGGCAAGTTCATACAGTATTTATAGCCCATTTCAGCAGCAAAAGAAGTCAGTGCTGCACTTAGACAAAACATAAAAGACTAAAAGCACAAAGGAAAGTACATTAGAGGTGTACAATAAAGGAAAAAAAAAAACAAACTTATGCAAAGTTTGCCTCTAAATTGGCTCAAAACTTGTAATAACTTTATTTAGTCAAATAAATTGCCTTAAATTGAGGGTACAATTAAAATTAGGATTATTAAAACTTTTTGGAATCAATTTTTGTCCCTTATTTAGCAGGTGTGTTGATAACATTAACTTTTATCTTTATGTATTTTAATGGCCGATGAGCCAGAAACTTGTTGATTTGCAGTTTATCCATTCAGTTATTTTTTTTTTCTTTTGCTCTTTTTTTTCCTTGTCTGTTAAGTGGTTATGAAGGTCTCATTACTAACCTGATGGCAGAGCTCCCTGATGGTTTAGTGAGCTATAACCGACCTGTGCGGTGCGTCCACTGGAGCAACACTGAGGAGAAACAAGACTCAGTAACGGTGGAGTGTGAGGATGGAGAAAGGATTGTGGCAGATCATGTTATTGTAACAGTGCCTTTAGGTATT